GCTTAACGCCTGAGCCACCCAGGCACCCCTCACATAGATCATGTTTTCTGACGAGGGCATTACGTTAGGTAATTAATAGAAGAAAAAAAACTTAAAAATTTCCTCATATGGTTGGCAATTTTTAAAACAGAGCATGCTTCTAAATACAGATCAAAGAAGAAATCATAATGGGAATTTGAAAGGCTCTAGAACTGAACAATAAGAAATATTCCATGTTACGAGCTGTATGTCATAGCAAAAGTGGTCCTCAGAAGAAAATATAAAGCTATAATTTACATGAAACAAGGAAAAAGAGAATATAAATAAGTATTGGAAATAAAAAGCCTTTTCTGGGAAGACTCCCTGGATATGTGCATGGCCAGCCCCCCTCCTATTTGTATTCATGTGGCATTTCTCAGTGAGGCTCACCCCATTTAAAGTGGAAAGGCCTGCACTCTCAATTGCCTTTTCCTTAATTTTTCCATAGCAGTTATCATTCTATGATGTTTTACTTATTATGTTTATTAGTGTCTTTCTCCCTCCATGACACAGGGATTGTTTTGCCCCTTTTGTTTGTTCACCAGCCTCTCTGACAACTAGAACAATGCCCGCACAGAAAGGGGATCTCGGTAATGTTTGTTATTAAAGAAGAGAATTCCATGAAAGAAATGTAAATATGTAACATGCAAATAAACATGAAAATCTGGCTGAAAATCAAATTCCTAGAAAAACATAATTCTCCCAAAATTGACTCAAGAGGAAAGAGAAAACCTGAATGATCAAAAACCATGAAATAAATTGAGTCAGTATTTTAAAATTTTCCAAAGCAAGCCCCTCGCTCATATGATTTTATGGGCAAATTCTGCCATTCCAGTTATACACAGATTTTTCCAGATAATTTAAAAAAATAGGGAATACTTAACCAACTCAATTTATAAAGCTTGTAAGACTTTAATATCAAAACCAGACAAGAATAATATAAAAGAAAAAAATTACATGGTAATCATGCTCATGAACGTACTTGCAAAAATCTTGAGATACTGACAAATCAAATATTATAACACATAAACAGCAGACAAAACTTCTGTGGGGCTGGATGCCAGGATAGTGGTTGCTGTGGGCTAGCTTAGTTGCGGAAGGGTCATCGGGGTGCTCTTGGGGTGCTGGGAATGCTCTGGTTCTGATGTGGGTGCTGATTACATCAGTGTTTCTTTTGTGAAGCTTTATTCAACCAAAGACACATGATCATCTATGGATAGGTCTGTACAGATATTTCAATTATAAGTTTAGTTTAAAGTAATAATATAACATAACATGAGCCACTTGGATTTATCTCAGGAGTGCAAGGGTGCAGCGTTAGTGAATCTATAAATATCATTCTCCACATTATATATGAAAGAGAAAAGCCATATAATCTTGGTAGTTGGAGAACTTTGATAAAATTCAACATCAGTTCATGATAAGAATCTTCGCAAACAGGAAACAGAAAGGTGCCTCCTAAATTGACAATATGGCAGAGACAGAGTTCAGCAAATATTCCACATGATCCCCTGCATTTCCAGTTACCTTTGCAGTTAGATGGGGACCAAGTGACTAGTTTTGTCCAGTAGACTGTGAGTGGAAGTGACATGTGTCACCTTTAGGCAAAGGCAGTTGAGCCGATGTTCCTCCTCCATCCCTCTCTTCTCTTGCTCCAGTGACCTTGGAGGCTGTGTATTGCAGATGGCATAGATTAAAGATGGAGTAAGGATGCTTCACTCTCACCAGACTCGGCGTAAGCAAGAAATAACCCTTATAGTGTTAAGCCTCTAAGATTTCCAAGTGTGTGTGTCTAAGCACAGCAGAGCTTACCTTATTCTGACTAATATAGTCTCTCAAGAAACTACAGCAACTCTCATACTCTGGGGTGAGAAATTAGAAACACTCTCTTTAAAATCAGGAAAAAGAACAAAGATGGCTGCTCTTTCTACATCTGGTCAACGTGGGGATTCTACCCAGTGCAGTAGAACAAATAAGGATTAGAGTGGAAGAAATAAAACAGTTATTATTTGGAGATGAAATTATTTTCTACCTAGTAAATCCTACATATAAGTAAATAAGTTGTTTCTGAGAGGTCTATATCAGTTATATTACTATGGACTAGCAACAAGAAATTAGAAAACTTAATCTTTAAAGAGGTACCATTCACCGTTTCATTTAAAAACATATGGTACCTAGGTATAAATTTAGCAAAAGAAGTGAAAGACTTATAGAGAAAACTATAAAAGTTTATTGAAAGACCAGGGGTGCCTGGGTGGCTCAGTCAGTTGAATGGCTGACTCTTGATCTCTGCTCAGGTCTTGATCTCAGGGTTGTGAGTTCAAGCCCCGCATTGGGCTCCGTGCTGGGTGTGGAGCCTATTTAAAAAAAAAAAAAAAAAAGTTTATTGAAAGACCTTGAAGAAGGTCTAAGTACTTGGAGAGAGATACTTATCTATGGACTCAATAACGTAATGATGTCCTTTCTCCCCAGTTTGATCTCTAGAGTCAGTGAAATTCTAGTGAAAATACCAACAGGATTTTCAAGGAATCTGTGAAGCTAATTCTTAACTATGTGTGGAAGAGCCAAAGGCCAAGAATGGCTAAGACTCTCTTGAAGTAGGAGCGTAAGGTGGAGACATTGACCTAGCAGATAATCAAGATTTATTGTGAAGTATTAGTAAGTAAGATAGAGTGGTTTTTGTTTGGGGACAGGCAGATTATCTAATGGAACAGAAATGAATATCCAGGAAAAGACCCATATATACATGGCCATTGGACCTATTGAGAGGTGATTTCCTATTAGCATAAAAAGGATGGTCTTTTAAATAAATGGTGCTGGGAAAATTATTTATTTTATGTGGGAAAAAATAACATATGTGCTTAACCAGATTTTTGTGATCAGGCTCTGATTGTATGTATACCATTTAAAAATAATATGTATAGAAAATAACCTCTAATTTGCTTTTGAAAGTGAGCCTAAGAAAATGACAACTTAGGAAAAATATTTCCAGCAAGTATAATAGACAGAATGTTTACATCCTAGTTTATGAAGAGCTCTTAAAAGTCAATCAGAAAAAAGAGTTTATTTATTATTATTTTGCCTTCTTGACTGATTTTGACTTCTTTGCTTTATTATTTTGCCTTCTTGACTGATACTTAAGAACTTTTCCTCAACCAGGAAGCTATGACATTGGGTGGATTTATAAAAGGTAAAAGCCTTATTTGTCTTTTATACTTAAAGCATGTCCCAGGTGGATGTGGATTCAGGAATTGAAAATATGGAGGTTGATGAAAACGATCGAAGAGAAAAGAGGAGCCTCAGCGATAAGGTTGGTAAGAGATGAAGCCCTTGCTTCTGTTTTTAGAACAGGTAATATAAATACCCTTCTAGTTCTTCCATCTGCAGAGTCGATTAGAGTGCGCAGCCCCAAGTCAGCAAATCCTATTGAGGTGACTCTTTTTTTCTTTTGAGGAGAAATGGAGCCTAGATTGCCCTAATGGAAGGAGAGCTCACTTCTTTCATCTGGTCAAATCCTTCAGTTACCTTGGTTTCAGATCCATATTTCTATCAGTAAATTGAGTTTGTAATGAGAAGGAATTTCACGCTAACTTGAACTTTTTCTGTTGGTCTTTTGCTTACGCAAGTAGGTCATCACATCTTCCGTAGTATTCTGAGGAGAAAATGGCTGGGAATTGAGGCAAGAATACGTGAAGTCTAGTAGCACTTAGAAGCTTATTTAAAATATGAGGTCTTTATATTTTGTTATCATCTGAGCTTAGTTCCCTATAGTTAGCCAGAGAGAGGTGTTTTCTTTTGGCGGGTGTCATGGGGTAGAATTGGTAGAGACAGTTGCCTCACTTACTGTGCAATGATTTATGCGTGTTCAGCAGCACTTGGTGATGGTCATCTGTTGGACTGTGGCCTTCTGATGGCACGATGCTTCGTTTTGTAGAGTTCTTGCGTGTTTCCAGAATTCTTTTATATATATTTTATCTGTGACAGAAACTAGTGAGTAACATTAAATTCTGGAAAAGTTTTTGGATGAAGATTAGTTCTGTGCTGATGTTATCCTGGTCCTTTGGCGTTCAGAAAAGTAAACAAATAGGATGTATATACATCCTTTATCACATGACTCCCTTGGTGATTACAGGTAATGTTCCCGCTCTTTTATCCACCCCCCGTAGATAATTGTAAGCTTATGAAACCTCCATGTTGGTACTTCAAAGTCATAGTAACAAGTTCATTTTTCCCTTAGTCAATGGGTGAACAGTTGTGTGTATTTCTAAAATATCCTCATTAATAAGCGAATTACTTGAAATTAACCCCCAAATCTTCTTCCTCACAAGGAGCCTTCCTCGGGTTCTGAAGTGTCTGAAGAACAGGCCTTACAGCTGGTCTGTAAGATCTTTCGTGTCTCCTGGAAGGACCGGGACAGAGATGTCATCTTTCTTTCTTCTCTTTCTGCACAATTTAAGCAGAACCCAAAAGAAGGTAGGAATCCATCTTAGCTGTTAAGAGAAAGCAAGAATGTAAGATCTTTGCCCTTCTGTTACCCGCATTCACTTTCTCTTGCTTTGGGGTTATATTTTTTGACTACAGAGATAGTTCTTGATGAGGACACTGCTGTTTGGCCACTTTCCACTGATCTTACTGATAAATTATTTTTTTTCTACTTTCATGATTTCTCTAGAAGAAAACTATATAAATAAGTTGATGGTCTCCATTGTTTCAGAGTTGAAGTTATTAATGTCTCTAATAAATAGGAGTGTACTGGACAGTCTCTAGGGATCCTGGGAGAGGTGCTCTGTATGACCTATACTTGCTTTAAGTGCCTGTCAGGTCATGTGCAGACAGTGGAGTAAATCCGCTTGATTAAATTGCTTAGCAGGATAAAACATTGATACTTTGCTGTGTTCCAGGATTCTATTTTAAGAGGCTACCCTAAACCACACTTTTATAACAAAGTAATAAAACTTCTAGCAAGATACCAGCATTTCAGGCACTGATACTCTTCTTTACAGAAGTCATTTGGAATGCAGAAGAGGCAGGGGTGGTTTGCTGTAGTGTTCCTTTGCGTATCACTAGAATATAGCCCTGACGGCAGGGATTTTTGTCTCTTTTGCTCCCTGATGTATTCCTGGTGCCTAGAAGGGTGCCTTGCACTCAATAATCCCTCAATAGATGTACTTTAAATGAGTGAATGAAAAGGAGATCATCTTTCCCTTTTTTGTGCTGCCCATCTTCCCTGGCAAGAAAAGTCCCCTATGTTCCTGACAGATGGATAGTTTACTTCTGATTTTACTGGGATCTTCTTATTAACTGGTTGTAGATATGAGCCTAGCACCTGTGTGTTTCAAAAGCCTGCCACTTGTTCTTCTTCTTCTTTTTTTTTAAGCAACAGCTACTTTAAAAAAAAAAATTTTTTTTTATTCCAGAGCAAGAGAGTGAGCAAGGAGGGGGAGGGGCAGAGGGAGAGGGAGAGAGAGAATCTCTACCAGACTCCCTGCTGACGTGGAGCCTGACACGGGGCTTGATCCCACAACCCTGAGGTCACGACCTGAGCCAAAATCGAGAGTCGGGCGCTTAGCCGACTGAGTCACCCAGGCGCCCCCTTGTTATTATTCTTATTGTAAACCTTAAGATTCTTAAATCTGTCTTGTACACATATAAGTGATAATTTTTGATAGCCAAATCAGATAAGATTTACATGTGTTACAGCTCTCATTTATTTAGTGATATTTAAAATGTATCCAAAGACCTCCTGGAAAGCATTTGGGAGCTTCGAAGAATAAGGAAGCAGTTAGAAAATAGAATTTGCTCCAAAAAGCCAGATGGTGACTAAATATTAGACACGTCATAAAATATTTTGAACTTCGCATTTAGTAGTTTTACTGTATATAAAGCATAGGTAGGTGAAGAAATGTACCCAGCTTTACTTCTAGTATGATAAACAAATGTCCATAGCTGGGAGTAGCAAGACCATAGCCATAGGGTTAATATATCTCAGCAGGGATTCTCATTGGGTGCACTCCAATTTTCTTTCTTTTTTTTAAAATAAGTTTTGTATTTTGGAATAATTTTAGATTTACAGAAAAGTTTTGGAGATTGTGCAGGGAGTTCCCGTATACCCTTCACCCAGTTTCCCTAATGTTACCATCTTATGTAACTATAGTCTATTTGTCAGAACTAAGATACCACTATTATCTGAACTCAGGCTTCATTTGGATTTTTCACCGGGTTTTCTCCTAATGTCCTTTTACTGTTCCAGGATCCAATCCGGATACCACATTGAACCTCTGGTTCCAGTTGGCTGATTCAAGGACTGTGTATATGAAGAAGCATATGTAACCTCTTCTTTATTCTGCCTTTCCAACAGTGTTCTCTGATTTTAAGGACTTGATTGGCCAGATTTTAATGGAAGTGCTAATGATGTCTACTCAGACTCGAGATGAAAATCCATTTGCCAGTCTGACGGCCACATCACAGCCAATTGCAGCGGCAGCTCGGTCACCAGACAGAAATCTCATGCTCACTACTGGCTCCAACCCAGGAACAAGCCCCATGTTCTGCGGTGTGGGTTCCTTCGGTACCAGCTCTTTCTCTAGGTCAGTGCACTCCCTTTTGCACATCTAGTTTGGTAGTCCAACAGCCATGAAGTATGTGACGGAAGGGACTGCTCACTCACGGGCCTTTGCCAGTCGGATTGTGCCATGTGTTGTGTTTGGGTGGGTGCGTTTAGTCGTGGCTGCAGATCTTGTCTCTCCCAGATTGGTTTGTTTGGCTTCCCATGGTTAGGCTGTTGGTAAATTTTAGAAGCCAGTGGCTGTATAGAGTACATTATTCTTTGGAAAGAGGGCTTTATCAGACTGTAAATGTAGCCTCGAGATCCGTGCGGTAATTAGATTATAACCATTCAGATGAGTATCTGAGAGATTTGTACACTTGAATGCTTAGAGATGCAAAGTGTCATTGTACTAGTCTTTAAAAGCTTGATATTTTCCATTTTAGTTATTTACCTCAAGTTTTTCTTCAATTGTCTCTTCTTTCCTCTTTTTCTCAACTGATTTAGCCTCTATGAAACTAGCCCGGCTCCCAGGACAAGTTTCTGGAGCTCGGTGCCAATGACGAGTCCATCCTTTGCCTCCTCCCCTTCCCGTGCAGCCGGCCAGATGGCTGTGCCGTCCATTCCCCTCAGCCCTCATGGCGCGGCTCCCGGCGCTGCCGGAGGAAGCCAGCCCACGTCTTCACGGTATCGCCCCTACACGCTCACACCCCCGTGGGGCTCTTCAGCTTCTCCTACCCCGCGGTCCCCCGGCATCTCCATCCTGTCCAGCTCACCCAGCCTCCCTGCCCTCGCTAGTAGCCCTCAAGCAGTGCCTGTCAGCTCTCCCAGACTGAGACCCGGCAGCCTGGGGCCACCTTCCCTGGCCACCTCCCCCAGTGCCATGAGCAGACGTTCCTCATCCCTAAGGATCTCTCCTAGGTATTTATTCAGCAGGAAAGCTGCGTGCGTGTTTGCAGTGCTGGGAGAGGCGATTAACTCGGTTTGGAAGAACTGCTGTGTGACGCTGACCTCAGTTACATGTGCTTTCCTGTTCGGGGTTATTAACCTGTGTGTCTAACTAGTTTGGTAGGCTCGCGCCCCGAGTCCATGCTTCTGCCGGGCTCTGATAACAGTAGAAGGTGTGGGTGTTCCATTGTGCGTCCCTCCGTCTGTTCTTACCCCTCACTCTTCCTCCTTCCTGGCCAAAAAAAAAAGAAGTCACTTTTCATTTTTTTGAAGTCTAGTTCATGTGTCATTCCTCATTACAAGTGAATTCCAGAGGCTGTGGGCAGTGTGTATTTGAGCGTTGGGGCTCACAGGAGCACATTTTAGCTCTTCGTACTGTTGTCAATCAGAGTTGAAATACCGTTAGCCCAGGGGGTGGTGGGAGCAAGTCTTGGGCCCGTGTCCCTCACCTCTGATCACTGAGGTGGGGCCGGTGTTTGTGCCTTGACCCTTTGATTTGAGCCTCTTAGAAAGAAGCAGTATCAGAATTCCACTAACCCAGTGCCCTCCCCGCCCCCCC